TACGGTAACCCGAATTTACCACACTCGCAAAATCGCATAACAGCCAAGCATACACCCAGCATCGCTGCTGATGCCTGAATGGTATGTGGAATGAAGTGGGCGGGCATCGGGAGGCCACTATGGCACGGGGCAAGCACTATGGGCAGTCTAGCTGAAGTGTACCTGGCGTATAAGACGACCCCCCACTTGGAGGCATATTTTTCAGGGCCAAAAAATCGTCTTATACGCCGGCAAATACGGTATAAAACATTCCTCTATTCAAAATAGCTTACTATCGCAGGATAAAAGCCAAATCCTCACAATTGCCTGTAAGGCCATATACTACATGGTCCATATGACCTCTCAGGTCTCATCTCACTCCTCTCCCCTGCCCCACCCCTGTCTATTGTAGCCCTATCAGTCTTGTTACTGTTTGTTCCTTGAGTTAGGCATGATCCTGCTTCTGGGCCCTCTTTTTTCTTCCTCTCATCATTATGTTGGCTGTACATTTTTATTAGGTTTAGGAGCTTTCCTTCATATCCCTAGTTTGCTAACGTTTTTTTGTAGAAGATTCATATACCATAAAATTAACCATCTTAAAGTGAACATTCCAGTGGCATATTGTACATTCACAAGGTTCTGTGCTACCATATATATCTAGTTCCTGAACATGTTCATCACCCTGAAAAGAAAAAAATAAAACCCTGTACCCATTAAGCAGTCACTCCCCATTCCTCCCTCCCCTCAACCCTGGGCAATTACCAATCTGCTTTCAGTATCTATGGACTTGCCTATTCTGGATATTACATATATATGAAAATATACAATGTGACCTTTTATGATGTTTTTCACTTAGTGATTTTGAGGTCCAGCCACATTATAGCATGTATCGCTACTTCATTATTTATTATGGCTAAATAACACTCCATTGTATGGATATACTACAATTTATTAATTCCTTCTTCTGTTGATGGCAATTGGGCTGTTTCCATCTTTTGGCTACTGTGAACAGTGCTGCTATGCATTTGTATCTACAAGTATCTGAGTTCCTGCTTTCAATTCTTTTGGGTATATAACTAGAAGTGGAATTACTGGGTCATATGGCAATTATATGTTTAACTTTCTGATGAACAGCCAAACTGTTTCCCACAGTGGTTGAACCATTTTACATCCCCACCACCAATGTAAGTGGATTCCAACTTCCCCTTCAGGGCTTTTCCATTTGCTATTCTCTCTCTCTGGAAGGCTCTTTTGATAGATACCCAAGCGGCTCACTTCCTCACCTCCTTCAGGTATTTACTCAATTGCCATCTTTTCATAGAGGCCTATCCTGACCATCAAATTTAAAACGGCAGCTTCCCAATCCCCAACCTCTACTCTCTATCCTTCCCTACTTAATTTTCCCCATAGTACTGATCATCATCTAACATACTATATAATTTTCTTATTTTCTACAGTCTGTCTTCCACCACGGACATGCCCTCCGTGAGGGCAGAGATTTCAGTCTGTTTTTCCAGCACCTAGAATAGTGTCAGGCACATAGTAAGTGCTCAATTAATATTTGCAGAAAAAATAAATGAAGTCCAAAGAGGTGTTTTGGCAAGTGTGACAAAAAAGAAGAAGAAACGAAGTCTCTGTAGTTTAGAGGTTATTTTTCTAATAATGGTGATGGATTGAAACTAAGCCAATCAGACCTTTTATTTAGCTGTAACCAAAAAGCACATGCATGAGATAACTATTTCTGAATCAGGTAAAAGCATTACTGTATTTAGAATAGCCTGAAGGTAAAGGGATCAGACTGCCAAGCCAAAACTCATTAGCACCAATTAAAATCAATTAACTGCCTATAATAAGCTTAGTACTGTCTGAAATGTTTCATTTAAACTAAGTAAAAAAAAATGATGCTACAGAACACAGAACTTGAAGAGTATTACACTTTAAGAAAATGAACCTGGGTGGATGGATGGCTCAGCTGGTGAGAGCGCGTGCTCTTAACAACAAGGTTGCCGGTTCAACTCCTGCATGGGATGGTGGGCTACACCCCTTGCAGCTAGATTGAAAACAGAGACTGGACTTGGAGCTGAGCTGTGCCCTCCACAACTAAGATTGAAGGACAACAACTTGACTTGGAGCTGATGGGTCCTGGGGGGGGGGAATACACTGTTCCCCAATAGTTAACAACAAAAAAAGAAAATATGAATTTAAAAAAAGCCACTTTTGAAGATTTTTGGAAAATCATTTATAGAAGAAATCAGTCTAGAAAATTAAAACTAATGGATTCAACTCTTTTGACTATAAATTGAAAGAAGTAGGCTATATATCAAGTGGTCACTGAAAATGGCTCTCAATATGTTTCTGTTATAAGCTGAATATTTGTGCTCCCCCCAATTCATAGGCTGAAACCTAATCCCCAATGTAATGGTATTTGGACATGGGGTCTTTGGGAGGTGATTAGGTCATGAGGGTGGAGCCCTCACGAATGGGGTTAGTGCTCTTATAAAACAGACCCCATAGAACTCTCTCACTCCTACCACGCAAGGACACAACAAGAAGACGACAGTCTATGAACCAGGAAGCAGGTTATCCCGACACTGAATCTACTAGTACCTTGATCATGCACTTCCCAGCTTCCAGAACTGTGGGAAATACATTTCTATTGTTTATACGCCATCCAGTCTATGGTATTTTGTTATAGCAGCCCAAATGGACTAAGACAGTTTCAAAGTACAATTTCAGAGTTCTGATGTTAAGAGAAAAAACCACTCATGATTGAATCAAACAACTTTAGAGCCTGTCCACCTTCATAGTTATTAAGACCACACAGGGACTCTTGCCAGCCTTTAAAGTTCAAGAAATTAGTGAAGTATAAACAGTGAGCTTTTAACTGTGCTGGAGGAAAAATTGCAAGATATACTCCATAGATAAAGCTCTCAGTCTGCAGTTCCATTAATCACGCTTCCATGTAAGAAGCAAAGCAATGCTCCTAGCTATATGATAAAATCTACAGCTTTTATATAGAAGTTATTTGTTAGAAAATAATTCCTAAGGCACTTTAACAATACAAATTTTATTAAAAAAATAATAACATCAAAGCAGTTCAGCAAACCTACATTCAATGTAACCAAAATAAACAAACGCCAAATTAAAAAATATATATACATCTATATATATGGGCAAGAAACAAGTGCATTATTTGGTCCCAATATTTTTGAATATATTATCTTTATCCAAAGGAATTACATTAATGGCTAAGAAGATATTATCTATTAGATGTACAGAAATTTAATTTTAAAACTTGTTTTAAGGTCTGCAGGAAGTGTTTGTTTGTTTTTGCCAATTCTTTATGTCTTTGAACTCACATCACTAAGCTTATTAGTTAATGACAGTCCCAAGATGAATAGAGGATGTAATAATGTCTAATGGTCTGAACAATTACCAAATTAATATGCCACCAAGAGGTAGCTTACACGAAATCTATAGAGAATTCTAAGGAATTTTTTGCAGTTCTTAACAAAAGTTTTGAAGAAAAGAGATAAGAGTGGACATAACAAAACAGACATTAAAAAATTTGGCGAAGAACGTAAAACAAAGATAAAAGTAAACTTAAACACCTTTAAATGTATTGATATTGCTGAAAATTCCTAGGGTTAACACTGGATAAAACTTTAAATGACAGTACAAATAACTGTAACTTTGGAACTGTAATTTTAGAAATTTCTTTTCTAAGATCATGAAAAGTAACTTTGGTTCCCTACACAGCCAGTTTTTATATTCCTTGGACTGCATGCATGCTAGAGGAAGACTAAAGGGCAGCAGTCAAAATGATTAAACTTCAACTTAGGTGATAAAGCATTGGTTTGAAGTGCTTTTCTTGGTCAGAATTGACCTATAGGCTTAAAATAAGAACCAAAGCCACCAGTGGGAATTTGTGCTCAATTTGTTGGGCCTTGAGGTCATCTCTGGTCAAATTAGCATCAGCCTTATGGGAGACCAGTCATGAAGGAAGGGACGCTCCCCAATAACTGACTTCCTAAGGCCACAAACTAGAGAAGGTCTCACAGTCAAATAATTCACATTCCTTGGAAAGAGAGTACAGGCATCAGGTGTGTCCAACGAAGGGGGACACTGACCAGGAGTACCCTGGAAATTTTTTGAAATTTCTGTGTTACTTCTGCATCTGAAAAATATGAAGAATAGAACAATGACAGACAAGGAATGAGAAGAAAGATAGCTATCTGACCTAAAATTGTAACACTTATAAGAAATTAATTAAGAAACCAGACAAAAGATCAAAAAAGATGAATAGCCATATCGTTTGGAATGCAATATTCTGAAGGCAAGTACAGCAGAAAAAAACACAAATTATTTTAAGCGAAGCAGGAAAGACCATAGCAAACAAAAGTTATTTTTGGAGAAAGCCAACTGGAGAAAAAAAAAAACATGTTACGATATGTTAAATAAAAAAAAAAGATATGTTAACCTGACACAAAGATAAGGTGGAATAAGAATCTAGTGCCATATGAAAGCTGAAAAGAGCTGAATAATGAGAGCTAGTCTAGTGTCATGAACTTGGCTGTTTAATCATTTTTGTGTGAGAAAACACTTCAGATCTTTGAACTTAGGATATTCCAACTTGTCTTGCACCAGGTTGCATGAGTTCCATGGAGCAGGAATCTATTTCAACAAGCAGCTTTAAAAACAAAAACAAAAAAAACCCTTTAATATATTTCATTTCTATTAATGATACATTAAAAATATGCAACAGTGTTAAAAATCCATGGAAAACAATGCACTGGATGAAGATTAAACTTACTCAGAAGTGGGTTCAGAAGTTGAGGTTCTTTTGGGAACTAAAATTAGAAGAAGAGTTTTACATTTAAAATAGCATATTATAATGAGTGAGTCTATAAATCTAATACAATTACGAGCCCATATTGTGGCTGATCAAAAATACTGGAATAAATGTCAGAAATTCAAAGTAACACAATTGTACATACATACCATTCTCTATTATAACTTGGCAAGTGTGAGTTTTACGTTGACTTAAGTGTTTAGCCATACGATCCAAACCAGAAGAATCAGTTAAGAAATCACACTTAAGGCACACTAGAGTAATGTCCCTATGGCAAAAAAAAAGATGGAAAGAAAAGGTTTTCATCTTTTATGAAAATCCATATACAAGTTCAATAATTATTTTTTCCATGTAATAACTCTTGATTTGCTTTTTATGCATCATGACCATCACTTTTCAATTTTGTTATATAAACGTGATATATCTAAAATGGTACTTTAGAAAATGGCATAGCCATGCCTAAATTATGCTAACATTTAGTGCTTTATCAACTGTTCCCTCTCATACCAGTTGCTAAAAGATAGGAGTCAAGAGACCTAAGGCCCAGTTGAGGTTCCACTAACAACTTGCATAATTTGTGCAAGGGACAATCTTTCCATGCCTTTGCCCATTTGCAAGGCAAGAATATAACATTCATTCATTCAATATAATATGCTGAGAACCTTTTTTGTACACTGTGTACTACTAGGTATTATGGATACAAGAATGAACAAAAAAGGGTACACTCTGGAGTCTACAATCTAAAACCTTATTTAAGTGATGATAAAATCAGAAAAGAAGTGGGAAGGCTTTAAAAAGAAATTATTAAAATAATGTAATTATTATCAGCTTATTAACACAGCACAAATATACTTTTGCAGTTCATTTGAAATTTAAATATTTTAAATTTAAGTATTTCACCTGTATAGGAATAACAACCAGTACCATGCCTTAGACTGACTTCTCCCCTGCAGCTCTAGTTTTAACCATTTGTTGTGTCTTTATATCTGGCTGTTAGGCTAGCACATTAAAAATTATCTTCATAAAACTGAAGTCATGTGCTTTCCTCCTCACTCCCCAAAATTATTCCTCCTGGGGCCGGCCGAGTGGCTCAATTGGTTAAGAGGTTGCTCAAGAGTGCGAGCTCTGAGCAACACGGTTGCCGGTTCAATTCACACATGGGCCAGTGAGCTGTGCCTGAGCTGAGCTGCCAACAGGTGGCAGGATGGCTCAGCTGGTGAGAGCACATGCTCCTAACAAGGTTTCCAGTTCGACTCCCGCATGAGATGGTGGGCTATGCCCACCTGCAACTAAGATTGAACACGGCACCTTGAGCTGAGTGGCCACAAGCTGCCGACGGCCAGCCAGATGGTGACTAGACTTGGAGCTGAGCTAGCTGCACCCTCCACAACTAAGACTGAAGGACAACAACTTGGCTGTTACCCTTCCCAATTCCCCAATAAAAACTTAAAAAAAATCACTCCTCCTGAAACAGCCTCTCTTATGATGCCATATCCCCAACACAAGGGCTCATAATTGTACTCATTTCTGACTCTTTTTCCTTAAAACAGTCAATTATTTCAAACATTTTATAACAATTTATTGAGTGCTTACTGTGTCAGGCTGAAGGTTTTAGACATATCATTTCATCTAAATCTTATATAACAACCTAAAGTAGTAGGTGTGTTAATTACAACTTTTATATAGAGGACAGGGTCAGGTTAGTAACCTATCAAAGCCAGGACCAGGTTTGAAGCTTAGTTCTTTGATTCCAGAGCCCATGTTCTTTTTTTTTAAAGAAATTTTATTGGGGAACAGTGTGTTTTTCCAGGACCCATCAGCTCCAAGTCAAGCAGTTGTCTTTAAACTAGTTGTGGAGTGTGCAGCTCCTTGGCCCGTGTGGGAAATTGGCAACCTTGGTGTTATGAGCCTGGCTGTGCACTAACCACGTGAGCTAACCGGCCAGCCCATGTTCTTAAACATGATGTAATACCACCTCACCACCTTAACCCAGGATGTTATTAAATCACTCTTAACTACCACAATAGTCTTAACCAGTCTACGTGCCTCATACAGCTACAACTCACCTTATATACACCTCCAAATGGATCTTTCTTCAGTACCCTTGATTCCGCACAAAACACCAATGGTTTCCCCAATGTTCTCAAATTAAAATTAAGTCCAAATTCCCTAGACTTCTTCAAAGATACTATAATCTGGATCTAAGCTCAAAAGTATTTCCCCAGACTTTGATCTCAATACTATGTTGTATGGACTTCATGCTCTATTTGGATAGAGCATGTACTACTAGTTACTCGTTGTGCATGCCTTCTGCTTTTATCCTTTCTGCATTTTTATTCACGCTATTTCTTCCAGATAGAATGCCCCTGTGCCTCTTGTTATAATAGAAACCTCTCCTCCCTTTGAAATCAATAACTCTCATGGCACTTGTTACAAACCTCCTTGTATTACTGTAGTTATTTATGTTCACACCTTATCATAAATTGTGCATTCCGTGAAGGTTGGTACCGTGCCTTCTTCATCATTGTCATCCTTACAGGACCTACTACATTGTGTTATACATGATAGGTGCACAATAAATTGCTAAAGCATGAACACTGTATTTTAACAAAATAGCAATTATAAAATTTATTATTCTATAGAATTATAAATATACTAAATACCACACACAGAAATTAACTAATTTTCTACTTAAAATTCAGACCCACTTAAGTTGAGAGAAAGCATTTCAGATCTTTAAAGTCACACAGTTAATTTAAGAACCAAGCACACAACTGAGCTTGACAACAGAGGTAAAAAAAATCATTTTGTGAGGGGTGTAAATGTCTAATTATTATGTTGTTTTGTACACCGAAACTAATATAATAAAAAAATATCAAATGAAAGTCTCATCTTCAGAATTAATAAATCCATTTTCATTCTTTTAAAAATTTTCAGTTAAGGTAATACTTAATATAGCTTACTCTTATCTAATTCCTTGAATTTAGTAATATTTTCAAAATAGAACTAACATTTTTAAAATGTAATCAAACTTCCCTCTGCTTATGAGCTGTTGATCTAATATCATTCACATAAGATATTTTCAACATATACATTAATTTACGCAACAAATATTTATGGAGTGCCTACCATTGTCAGGCACTATTTGATGCCCAGCAAATGTCTGGCATTGACAACTATCTGAATCACACACATTCTAGTGAGAAGACACAGACAATAAACAAAAGGGTGAAATATATATGTCAGATAGTAAAAAGCTGCCATGAAAAAAAAATAAAGCCAGAAAGGGAGATAGGGAGTGCTGGGGTGGGGCCCAGGGGAAAAAATACTATTTCAAATGGAGTGGTCAAGGAAAGCTACATTAATTGGAGTAGAAACCTGAAGGAGGTGAGGGAGCTAGCCATGCAGATAGCTATCTGGGGAAGAGCAAATGAGGCAGAAGCAATAATAAACACCAAGGTCCTGAGACATATTCCCTCTTTCACCTTTCCATTAACCTAAAGCATCGAAACAAGTACTGGCTAAACTTAAGTCTATGTCTTAGATATGGTGCTACAAAGATCTTGACACTAATGTTTCAAATAGCAATGACAGCATGAGCTAAATAATTAAACAAAGGAAAATAGAATCAAAAGTAATCAGAAGAATGTGGAAAAATCATGTATAGTGAACTCTGAGCTATGTGTGTATGATATAACCGATGTTAATTATTAATAACTTTGGAAATGTTCATCAACAATTCCTTCTGTATAGTAAAGAAGTTGTGTACTTTTCTTTATAAAAATAAAACCCTACAAAATATGAGGCTATATATTGATCAAAACAAAAAAAAGCATTAGTCACTTTCCTAGGTTATCTTAAATGTTTTTTTAAAAACTACATTTTATATAACTTTTTTTTTGCAATATTATTGACCTTATTCTCTATGCTGTACTTTACATCCCCAGGACTATTTTGTAACTACTAATTTGTATTTCTTAATCCCTTCAGCTTTTTCACCAGTTCCCTAAACCCGTCCCCTCTGGCAACCATCAGTTTGTTCTCTGTATCTATGAGTGTCTCTGCTTTGTTTGTTTAACATCTTTTTAATATTCAAATATTTTTGGAGAGACTTATTTTTAAATTTGTTTAAAAGCAAATCCATGAAAGTTCCATATTAATGATCAACTCCACTGAAACAAAGTGCAGTCAGAGAATATAGGCTATACCCTCTTTGATCTAAGGATATAATGACTAGAACTCTATTATCTCCAGTAGCAATCATTTCATTTTGCAAAGTAGGCACTCCAGCATCAGGTTAAAAAAGTTATTATAACTTTTCAATAGAGAGAATGAAAAAATATAAACTAGTTACCTGAGAGTTCCACAATGCTTCTTAAAAATATAAAACCGTTTACTTGGATGGTCGCTATGAGAGCTGGAAAGATAAGAGACAAATGAAATGTATTATATGATTAAGTCATATTAATTGTATGATCATATTTCAAGTTTATGCTTAGTTTCTTAGTTTTGAATAAAAGATCCTGATCTAAATTATAAAATTCTAGTAGCCATCTGTTTAATTCAAGATTTTTATCTTACATTTCACATTACCTGTGTATTTTCTAATAACATATTTCCCTGAGAATATTCTTAAATGATCAGTACATAATAATTATATAAAAAAACCTCAGAATTAAAAATGCAGAGTATCAAATTAAAATTTTCACTTATTAAGAGTTGAAAACAATCTAAAAGGTATTTGCTAATAATATATTTTGCTACAATATAAATTGCTATGAATAATTATCACTTTCTAATCTTAATATACTTAGTGAGTGGGAAGAATCTGAATGATCTTCAAAGTAAATGCTACTTGGGCCATCAGTAATGTGAAACATTTAAATAACATTTTGGAATTATCAAGAGAGCTTTAAAGGAAAGCGAATTAAAAGAAACAGAGCTCAGGAGCTAAAACAATACTTCCTCTATGCACAGAACAGAAAACCACTGAACAAGTTTTGCAGCCAATGGTAATAGCTTTTATCTCCCCTTTTAAACTGATAAGGAAAGCTTTCCTGTATTAGAAAGCTAGGCAGGATTAGCCAGGATTAACGTAGCACAGAAGTATTACTCAAAGTGTGGTTCATGGACCAGCAGTCTCTGCATCACCTGTGAGCTTATTATAAATACAAAATCTCAGGTTCCACTCCAGACCTACTGAAATAATCTGACAATAGAGTCCAGAAATCAGTTTCAACAAGTTTTTCAGGTGATTATTATGCAAGCTAAAGTTCGATAAGAACTAGTTCTAGTTTGTACTGACAGACTCAAAGCAATCAACAAACCAGGTCATCAGTTGCCATTAGACACAAGGTAACTATCACAAGCATACCATGTATGCACGAGAAAAGAAAGATTCTGGCTAGTCATAATCCCAAGAAAATATCCCAGAGTAAGTGTCATGGTGAATACAAATAACTGTTCTCTCAGGTAAATAAGACAGACATATATTTAGTATGAAGTAGAAGAGCTGAATGGTACTGCACTCAAAGAAAGAAATGATTCCTATGAGTGGCTGTGATAATCAGATACTTCACGGAAGAACATAAACTGAGGGGGAAGGTGAGGGTTATTCCAAGGAGTAACAAAGAATAAGGAAAAGCCACTAGACATTGAATGTGTGGTAAACTACACATTAGAGAAGTTTAATTAATTTTGGGGACCTGAATTGCGATTATAGAGTAGGTATGGACTGGAAACAAAGGTAGTCAACCGTCAACATCTCAGAAAATGAGGTTTCTGTACTTACAGAGTTCAAGCATATGACAAAAATCCAAACTGGGTCAGAGTCAGGGTGGTACCATTCAGGAGGAGGTACCTGAGGCAACAAGGAAATCAAGGTACCATAGAAGTAGGGGAAATGCAAAGAGACCCACAAGGTCCTTAGAAGAGTAGAAGTGGAAGTCAGTTCTATATGAGGTTAACGATGAGTTAAGCACTGACTGTGTAATGACAATGCAGTGCACGGCTGAGACTCACTGGAAATCAGGAAAAGGTTATGAAGGAAGCCTGGGGCCAATTGGGAATATTCTGGGGTAAAATAAGGCTGGAAGTCCTAGAAGACAATTCAGGGAGCCCATAGAAAATGGGAAAGGGGAGGACAGAATGACCCATTGGGGTTAAGCAACACCAAAAATATTTTCCAATTTAAACTTCTATTAATTAGGGACAGAATTAAAGCCCTGTGGGGCAGCCAAGTGTTTGGCACAGAATAAGAGATCAGCATTCTTCCCAGCAGTATACTGAGAGAAACTTTAGCTGGGGCCTAGTTCAGAGCAAGTGAGATATGGGTGCAGAACCACTGCGGTCGTTTGGAGGCAGAGTGGTAAATTGCAGAAGGTGGACTCTCAGGAAGCCATGATGAATGGTGGCAGATTAAGAGAAGTGCACGGCCTTCCAAAATTTAAAGTGTATTATTTCGAGCTGATGCTCCATGATCATGCAAATGATGCCTTAAGACTGAGCTTAAAGGGTATTATTGGGTGATAGTAATTTGGATCTTACACAAACAACAGGGGTTTTGACTTGTTTGTGTTCCAAACAGTGGGCCAAAGGTGAAAATATCTATCAAATAGTTAAAGATGAAGAGTTGGATATCAGGAAAACTCAGTATTGAAATTGGAGAATTTATAGTTGAAAGGTAAAAGACAAAATTCTGAGAGTGGTTAAGGTACCAAGAAAGGAAATGTAAAGAGGCCAAATGAGTTGAAGAAAGAAAAGGCAATGAAATATAGGAGTAGCCAAAAGGAAGTTAAAAAAAAATGGTGGTTACAGTTTATGAGAAGCTGAGGAGAAGTTTCAAAAGTGAGTAATCAAAACTATCAAATACTCGGGCCGGCCGAGTGGCGCGATGGTTAAGAACTTGCTTGGTATGCCAGAGGGCCCCGGTTCGGATCCCACATATGAGGGCCAGTGACTCTGCCCTCTACAGCTAAGATGCTGAACAACAGCTCAACCTGGAGCTGGGCTGCCGTGAGTCGCCGGCGACGGCGTAGGCTGCA